TCATAATTTTTGGTAATGTGCCTATCCGCGGGGTGGGGGGGGGGGGGGGGGGGTTAATTGTTTGTTAGTCCTGAGTTTAAATAAATCAGATGTGATAAAATAATGTCATCATGGTTGCAGTTAGACTTTTCCCTAGAACCCTTATTCTTAGAGTTCTAGGAAAAAAACAAGTCATTTGACATAGAGACTGATAGTTTCTTCTAAGGACTAAAGAAATTAAAACCCATTTCTCTTTTAGAAGAACTTGTATGTATGATGCATTCTGCTGCTTCATCCCATACCATAAAAAGTTTTTCTTAAAACAATAATAGTAACTTACAAAATAAGGCACTGTAAGCTTAAACAGCAGCTTTATGGTTGCTATGGTATAGGGTATTTTAGGACCAATTAAAGACCTTTTATAAGGAAAATTAGTAACAGTCTTCACTGAACATCTGAGCCACTGTCTTTCTTCTGACTAACAGAAGCCCAGCTGAGACAGGCTGTTGGCCTGGGGAAAGAAATGTTAAGAACAAAGCTTAAATTTAAAAAAAAATGACTGATGATATTGAATGTTTCGTTTTTTGTGTCCAATTTAAAAGGGATAATTTTCAGAGAGTAATGTGCCCGCAACTTTCTGGCGATTGGCTCTCTGTGGTGAGGAGACCAACTAAGCATTAAGGCAGGCAAAAAAGGACATCAAATTTATACCAATAAAGTCACTAGCCCTGATGATTCTGTTGTGCTCTCTCCCATGGACTAATTTAAAGTCCCACCACTGTGGAGTCACGAAGATATAACAAAGCTTAATTTTGAAATCTGGTTTCAGAGAGATAATAGCTGGTTGATTTTTGGAGTATTTTGGCTTTAAACTGTAAAAAAAAAAATTAAGAGAGACAGCAGAATCTGATCTTCTACAGGTACAAATATGGAGTGATTCCAGTCTTAATTAGAGTTAATTTGGATTTACACCAAATGTAAAAGATGAATTTGACCCAGTGTCCCTACTTGTGAGCATACAATTCTAGCCAGGTATTGTTATAACAAAAGTGTCCAAAAGGCGGAGCCATCATACCAGCATCCTAAATGCAGCATGTAGGTACCCAAGATTCCTTGGGAAATGTAGTATGTGCGCGCGTGTGTGTGCGCGCACACACACACACACACACACACACACACACACACGCACACACACGATGCAACTGTTCCCCCGTGTCTAGTGTGTTCATCAATGCCAGCCTTGGCTGGAAATATGAAAAAAATGCGATCCTTCACAAGGAAAAGCAGAATGGAAAAGGCAGGCAGGTTGTGAGAAAGGAGCCTAAAAATTTAACCAGAAAAATATGGGAGCAGAGAAGCAACTGTAAATGATGACACCGCTGACATGTAATTGATAGTTGGAATCAACTTTCAAAAAAGATGATCTGGTCAGTTTAATGGCCCAAAGACTTTAGTCAGCTCACCAAAATTTCATAAATTTATATCAGCCCTTCCATGCGCAACTTAATATTTCCAAAATAATATAGCATGCAGCAACATGTCCCAGAAACTCATGCTTTTTTTGGGATACACAGAACAGGTGTTATGTGGTCTGGAGAGCCCAGTGAAAGGAGTGGTATTCAGGTATTAGTTCCTTTGGACTTTTTGTTGAAATCATCAAGCAAGATAAATCCCAAATGAAGGGAGCTAGGTTTTTGTGATGTGGATATTTGTCGACTAGGGAATAGCAGAGACCTATAAAGCTCATTTCATTTTCTGGAAGTCACAAACAAAGAGTTTCCAGACTGCAATAAAACTTTCAGATGCTGCTGTTCTGGGTTAGAGTTG